AAAGTGTTCATAGCCTTAGCATTAGAAGAAGCATTGTCTAGAGTGACAGAGAAAATCTTGTCAATCAGACAATACTCCTCAACCACAGCAGCAATTCTTTCAACAATGTTTTCATCTGAATGTTTAACCTCAATCAGCCTAAGACCAATAACCCTTTTCTGTAACTCCCAATCAACATTTACATAGTGAGCAACAACACTAATATAGTCCTCCTTAGCATTACTAGACCAAATATCTGAAGTCAAAGCAACAGAAGAAGCAGCAGGCAACACAAAATTCTTAAGCTTATCACGGCGTTCAGTAAACAGCTTACCAAGATCTCTAGTGGTGGTCTGTCTAGAAACCTTGGCAAACCTAGGGTTATGAGCAAGAACAATGTAATCCTCCCATGCCTGTGTCTCACCTATACCTAACGGAAGGTCAAGCCTAGCAATCAACCGACACAACTCAGATCGAGCAACAGCAGGATTGTAGTCCCAGTTATGCACAGATCCATCAGGATTGAAAGAAAGCTTAGACTGAACCCTAACAGCGTGATCAGCCATTTTCCTACAAGATTTCTGGTGCCTAATCAAATGGTCAGTGCTAGCAGAAGATCTAGCAGACAATTTACTCTTACACATTTTATGGATAGCAGCAGTTTGAACCTTTTGACCATTCACAGTCTCATAGATCTCATCAAAATCAACCCAGACACCAGATTTACGCTTACCAAGGCATGAGGTACCATCTGTGTTGTTGGAGTCGACCGGCATCCCCGTCGCCGTCACCGACGGCGCCGGCTCCGCCCCTCCACCACCATCGCCACCGTCCAGATCGATCGGAGCAGAGCCGCTACCGACATCGATACCCAACAACGCAGCAGCGTCGTCACGGATGTTGTCGTCGTCCTCGGGGACTAGCCCTACCGCGATCAGGTCATCGTTGTCGGTGAGTGGATAGACGACATCGTCGTCATCCGCCATGGCAACCTTGACCGCGGACGGCTGATCTCTAGCACCGTTCCTCAACGGTGCGCGCGGCTGCCGTGCCCGGTCTGTGCCACAAGAAGAGGACGACGAGGCATCGGCAACCGACCTTCACGGAGGAGAAAAATAGAGAGTCAGAGAGATAGAGATACAGATCCAGAGTCAGTCGTTCAATAGAAGAGACACAAGAAGTGGAGAAGACAGATCTAGGGTTAGGGTTAGGGTTAGTGGAGTACCTGCGCAACCGGATCCTAGTGCCGAAGATGACGAGGGCAACCCAGAGGAGAGACACCGATTAGAAATGACGGCGAACGGCGGAGGGGGGACGGACGGGAACACAGTCACGAACACACATAGTTCACTGAGAGCGAGAGAGGAGAGAGGGAGAAGGGAGGAGAGTGGAGACAGGTCAGATAGGCGGATCGAGGTCACTGGAGTCGGGGACGACGAACGAGATTACTAGATCACGAGAGAGAGCTCAGATTCGCTAGATCATGGATGCGGCCGATGCAGGTGAGAGAGAGAGCAGAGATTGCGCCGCGGCGAGCCGACGAGTGAGTGGGGATTAGGGTTAGGGTTGGGAGCGGATGTTGAGCCGGGAAAGGCGGCTGGCGAGGGAAACCCTATGGCTGAAGTGGGGATTAGGGTTAGGGTTGAGAGCGGAGGCGGAATGGGGGAGGCTGGTCAGATCTGGCCAGGCGAGGCGACAGGACGAGAGGGACTCTCGCTTATATATGCGGGCCTCGCGCTTAGCGGGCTTCTGAGTTGTCGTGCCGCCCATGTCAGGGTAAGGCCCTGCACGGCACGCTTCTCTAGGGCGTGCCGGCCCGGCCCGCTAAGCCGTCGGGCGGGCGTGCTTGGGCGGACCAAAAAAACGGGCCACCCAAACGAGCCTGGGGTGCATGGCCATCTATGGGTCTCTGTCCCAGGATGCCAGCGGTAAACCTCACCTTTGGTGGTGCTCTGAACCATCGCTCTCGATTGGGTGACTTCTGCTGGGGTCCCGCTTCAGATTGTCGTCTCCCGTGTCACACTCCCTTCCCGCTCCCTTATGCCCGCCATTGTTGGACCAGCAAAGCTTGATGGGGATTGCTTTGATTTTGACCTTCGACCTCTCAATGGCATCAAAAGGGAACAAATCCTCCTTACTTGCTTGCTTGAACTGCTTCGATGATTTGTCTAGAGGCAACGAAAAACCCTTCTTCACGAGAGAGCCTCAAGCTCTCCGCCAAGGTGGGGAACTTTGATGCCATAGCACGACTAGGTGAACGAAACGCGGTGTCCCGCCTCTTCCAGACTTCATCCGCGCCGCTCGGATGATCCCTCCGATGACCTGATGACCCCGGTGAGTGAAACTCCTGCGCCGCGTGAGGTGACTCCCCACTTGATGCAAACCCAGGGGAGACCTCCATTGAGATATCACAAACCAGAGAGCACAAGGCCCCCAACTCGCGGATAGATCGATAGAGCGTCAAAAACTGGACACGATCTCCTACTTTTAATTGCTTATGAGGCGGGGAGTCGCCGGCGGCGATCGCTGGAGAGTGGAGCACTCAACAGGGCACCGGCCCGCCTCTCTCCCAATGTTGCTCACCGGCAGCCTTCTATGTTGATTGATTGAATGAAAGTGATAAAGACTGTTCGGTGTCCACCTACCTCATCTGTAACAGTTGCGGTGTCAATATGACTTTTGCTTCATTATTAATACATCCAAGTTAAATACACACAATACAAACTCTGGTCGTGTAGACATAAGAAATTGTCCATATAAAACTTGGGCTTATAGGCTTGCCACGGGCATGATGTAAAAGGTGGCTCGAGATGTGTAGCAGAGCTTTTTGTGTCCTTAAGTCTAAAATCGATTGTGGTAACCACGACTGATCTGCCCTTCCTCAGTATCTGCGCTTCAACATCCACTTCAGCCTGCATGAAGATAAATAATGGGCATTAGGATTGAATACATGCTTGAAATCAGACATGATAAAATATTTGACAGTGAGATGGAAGAACTCAAAATGTCTTTATATCCCATTATTCCTATGTTTTCACTAGTTTGTGTTTCAATTAGAAGTACTATGTTAGAGATTTAGCATCGGCAGAGAGTCATAGAGACATGATTCCTCAGACGTAGATGTTTAATGCTTCAAAAGAAAATATGCCATGCCCAAATTCAGTGATGAACATAGCGATATTTTAGAACAAAGAAGAGAGTGAAGGAAATAAATTATGGCACAAGTGAAGAAATAAATTATATGGCGCCCTTCCGAAGTTCACTGAATTGGCAAAAAATGACAGAAGTACGCAGCAACAATGTCATTGGGATTCGTTAGTGACAAGGTTGTCCCCAGGGTCAGCAGATGAGAATGAGATAGCTTAGCATTTTGATTTCATTTTGCACCTACTATCATGTAAATGGACTCAAAACTGAAATTGATTGATTATGTGAGTTAAATGTAAGCTACTGATGTCACGCTGACATGGGGCATCATAGCAAGTATCACATGGAATTATAAAACTGGTATCTGTTAGATTTATTCTAAATCAAAAGCATAATTTAGAGCTATATGACATGCCACCCTCAGGGCCCACTTTATCACAATCCAATTTCCCAACAAGGACACAACATTACGACATACATTACTAGTGAATGACTGAAAAATTACCAGTGATAATCTCAAGCTTCTAATCTTTTTTTTTCTCAGATTAGATATAAATCACAGAGAAGCTAAACGTGTTTATAGTTTGTGAAAGTTCAAATCAAAATTATTAAACCCTTTGGACCTTTTGAGGATTAAAACCGTCTTATATGATCATTATATAGGACAAAATCCATATTAGAACCTCTGTTCCAAAAAATATGACAACAGTAGAATAGATGCAATAAAACTACAATAACTTTTCTCTCTGATAGAAGGGCAGGCCTGGTGCAATGGTGAGAGTTGTCTCACTAAGTCACCAGGTCGCGGGCTCGAAGCAGCCTCTCCGTAGATTTTGCGGGGAGGCTTGCCTCGGTTTTTCCCTTCCCTAGACCCCACTCACATGGGAGCCTCCAGCACTGGGTCTGCCCTTTTTAACTTTTCTCTCTGATATCATTTGTAGATATTAAATTTTCAAACTGGCAATATGCTCTTTTATAAGCACTTGAATACCATTCTGATTTATGCTCGTCACATCAATCGTATTCTACCATTTGTGGCCTCCAGAATGTCATGCATTCAGCATCTAATGCTTTGCAGTATAGCATTTTTAAGCTCCCATACTTTCTCTTTTTAAGTGCGCATGTATGAAACCTTCCACGGTTATGTACATTATTATATCTCACTTGTATGACATGCTTGTATTGAACTATTGAGTCTGGACTGGACCCCTAACCTTTCTTCAAAGTTGAGACAAATGGACCAAGACTTTGCAAGACCTAGTAGCATCGCATAAACAATCACCAGGTTTAACACTATTTAAATATATTTGCTACCAGTAAACCAGATATTGGCATGCCTGATATATTTCACATTTATCATTCTACAACGTTGACCTCAAACATTGGCTAGAGGTTCTACTATATCCCATTCAATCAAATTCATCCCCTTTCTCGCAAAGTTGCAATGCTTGTTCAGATACTCTCATTTACAAACAGTTATTTACATCCAAAACTTGGGTTGCAGTCTGAACTCTGAGTCAGAGTTGTAGGCTGTAACCGGTTCTGGTTGCTTTTATTTTTGCCTCTGCTACAAACTGTTGTATTCCCGTTGGCTCAATGGAAATGGGGATGCCTCGTGATGAAAAAAAAAATTACATCTAAAACTTCATAAAATCTGTTTCCTGTAGCTACATTAATAATAACCAATTAAAAAGCAGTAGCCAGACACCCCCAAATCCCCCAAATTATCCTGACGTTTTAAATGGCTGCACAAAGTTGCCCCAAGAGTACATAACAATGTGAAATTCGAGTATATTCCAATCAAATTGGATGCTGGATGGAGGCCAAGATTATTGGAAAAGCAATACTGTATGCATCTGGTGCAGAGAATTTAATTAGAAGATCACATCGCATCGCGCTGCAGCGAGGTACGCGGTGCTAAGCTCGCCGAGGAACATCTCCCGATCCCCGGCGGCTGCCCGCGCGCACGCCATCCCGACGGCCTCGGCCACGGCCGCCACCGCGCCCCCGTGGAGCGTGTTGTACGGGTTCTGCAGGGAAAAGTCCATGCAAGGGAACTAGGTAGGTAAGCAGCAGAGAGAGAGATCTCAAAGGGGAGCTCAGTAGCAGTAGGTGCTCACGGTCACGGCGTGTGAGACGGTGATGGTGCAGGAGACCCGCCGGGTCGGGGAGGCGGTGACGGCAACCGAGGAGAGGATGGCGCGGACGAGCGCGGAGTAGGCGTCAGGCTGCTCGGCCGAGGCCGGGAGGCGCGCGTCGCGCGCCTAGGGCGAGGAAGAATGCCAGCATCACCGCCCGGGAGTCCGCCGGCGACAGCTTATGCCCCGGTTTCCCGTCCGACTCCGACATCTCCTCCTCCGCCTGCGTCGTTTGCTTTGCTGCTCCGGAAGTCCGGCGCCGTGGGGGTGGTGCGAGTTCGGGATGGGGCTGGGGCGGGGAGGCATGTACCGGCCGGAGTAATGCGTGACACTGACAACCACTGTAGGTTGTTGGCCGTGCCGTGCTCCCTGAAATTATCGTGTGGGGGAAGAGGGCCGAGCGCTGCGCGTGCACGCGAGGCAATCGCGGCTAGAGTTCGTCGTCGGAAGAAGGAAGGCCAACTGGGGGAAGCAGGCTAAGGATGGGTTGGCCCATTTCAGGCTTTTTTTTTTTTTTTTAATTAAAATTTCTATTTAAGTTAATTCCTGAAATTCAAGTGAATTTGAATCCGGCATAAATTTGGATGGAGAATTAAAAGTTTCAGTAAAACTAATAGAGGGACTTAGGAATCTTATATACTAAGTTTTCATAATTTTCATAGAAATGTCCCCAAGCCAGTTTCTTTTATTTGAGAGGTATTGATACTAATTTGAATTTTTGGTCTGAAAGATATTATCCCCTTCCCCTCTTGAATCTTGAATTCCTGATACCTACTCGTATCCCAAGCACTACTCGAGACACAAAGTCCACCCTGATCACCTCAGATGCCAGAAGATGTTTGACGAGTGGTACAACCTCATTTCTTGCAGAATCATATTCGGTGATTCTCAACCACATGTTCTTCTCCTATCCCCACAATTCCAAGCATCAGGAAGGAGGTCGAGCTTCTCAACTAATGCAAGAAAATTGCCTCAAAGCACACATAATTTTGTGGCGATCGATTCGATCCATCCTACACTGCGAGTGCTGTATATGGCGAGCGAAACCATTGGGAAAAAAAAATGAAATGGAGCTGTATTGTATATCAGGGCGTTGACTGTTGAGGATCGGCAAACTCACGTTGAGTCGCGCGGCGGCGAGGTACGCGGTGCTGAGCTCGCCGAGGAACATCTCCTTGTCCCCAGCAGCAGAGCGCGCGCACGCCATCCCGACTGCCTCAGCCACGGCCGCCACCGCGCCGCCGTGGAGCGTGTTGTACTGGTTCTGCACTCACCGCGCCGGCCGGAGGTAAATAGGAGAAAGGGGAGAGATGGAGATCGAGAGTGGTTCTGTCCTATCCAACGGGGAGGCTAATTAAGAAGCAGGCGCTCACCGTGACGGCGGGGGAGATGGTGATGGTGCAGGAGACGCGCGAGGAGGTGACGGCGGCGGAGGAGACGATGGCGCGGACGAGCGAGGAGTAGGCGTCGGGCCGCTCGGCCGAGGCTGGGAGGGGCACGTCCACGCCCAGGCCTTGGAAGAAGCCCAGCGTCCGCTCTCGGGACTCTGCCGGCGAAAGCCGCTGCGGATTCACCGGCGGCGGCATCTCTTTCGCAAATTACAGGCCCGTTTACGTTTGCTTCTGCTCTTCTCCGGCACAGGTGGTAGCAGCAGCTGGTGCGGATGTGGCTGCGGTAGCGCACCGCGCACCTCCGGCTCGGGGTGGGGTGGGGTGGGGTCAGATGTTGCGCAGGCAGCCACGCACGCATTCAGCCTGTTCGTTTGGCTGTGGTTATTGTAAACAATCTTAAATTTCCAGTCGAAACAGTATTTTTCTCTCACACAAACCAGGCAGCAGTATTTCTTCACGAACCAGTAACGATATGAACCAGCCAACCGAACATGCTGATTGTTTGATGAATGTTGCCTCAAAAGTCTAAAAACCATGTTTGTTTCTACTTATAATAATAATCAGGATTACTCCTTTGCAGTCTATAAAATCTTGCTTTTTGCATCAGCCTCCCCACGCACAGTGCTCGCGTGCCCGCGCCCGATCGCACCGGAGACGAAGAAGAAGATGGTGGTGACGTTAGGGTTCCAACAGGCAGCGGCGGTGCCCTTTCTCTCCGATGTTGCCTCAAAAGTCCAAAAACCATGTTTGTTTCTACTTATAATAATAATCAGGATTACTCCTTTGCAGTCTATAAAATCTTGCTTTTTCCATCAGTTATCAGCCTCCCCACACACAGTGCTCGCGTGCCCGCGCCCGATCGCACCGGAGACGAAGAAGAAGATGGTGGTGACGTTAGGGTTCCAACAGGCAGCGGCGGCGCCCTTTCTCTCCGACTCTCCCTCTCTTCTTCCCCAACTCCGGCGGGCTTAGAAGAGAAGGGCTCGTGGGAGGCAAGCCGGCCAGGTAGTGAGTACAGTAGGATGGCGGCTTATGGTCCTAGCGGCGGCGGAGGTGGTCGGACCAGGTTAGGGCGAGGGCATCCATGGGCGGAGCTTGCTGTGGAAGAAGGGGGGAGAAGGCGGCCTCCACGTGCGCTAGCTTTTGGCCGGCGAAACCCTAGCATGCTGAAAGGTCCTTGTGTGGTTTTGGTAATTGAGTGACAACCTAGGTGGACTAATTGTGTTTATGTGAGATACACAGGTGATTAGTCCACAGATACATGTGTGTGAGCAACATATGCCATGAAGGTGAAAATGGCTCGGAGATGTTGCAAAGCTCACATATGTGATGATGAAGGAGCTCATTGCACATGAGACATGACATTAAGTCATGTGATTAATGTGGAGAAGAACAAGACAAGACTTGGCTTGATGGACCGGTTGCAAGCGTGAAGGGCAAGTCAGAGGCTTTAGAGCGATGGACCGCGTGGCGGTGAAGCTTGAGCAAGACTTGGCACCGATGGACGAAGGCAACGGTGAAAAGTGAAGTCAACATCGATGAACCAATATGATCACGTGATGATATGAAGTGGATCATATCATTGTTGATCGTGTTGGTGCATGTGTTGCATCGACATTGGAGAAGATGGAATGGAATGCGCAAGACAAAGGTATAACCTAGGGCATTTCATTTCACCGGTCATAGGAGTGTAGAGAAGTTGATGACCGGGTTTTGGATAGATAGCCGTACTATCAAGAGGGGCAAACTTGTTTGCATATCGGTCATCTAGTGCCACTCGAGTGATCTAACTTTGCATCATCGCTAGGATTGAGTGGCGTGGCAAGTTGAGTGGCTAATCCTTTGGAAAATGTTTGTGAAAATGCTAACACACATACACATGGTGGTGTACACTTGGTGGTGTTGGCATATTTGCAAAGGAGAAGAAGTTGGTGAAGAAAAGGAGTTAGTCGCGCTGGTCACAGAGTGACCGGACGCGTCCGATGTGGCTACTGGACATGTCCGGTATTGTATCTAGACTTCTGGTTGTCAGATAGAAGTGACCGAACGCGTCCGGTATGGTGACCCGACGCATCCGATATTTGGACCCGAGGTGAGCGACTAAGTGAAAGTGACCGAACTTTGGCTCAGTGGAGTGACCGGACGCTGACGTGTTACTGTTCAGCGTCAGGTCAAAAAGACATAGCCCGAGGCAGGATCGTAGACAGCGACCGGACGCTGCGACTGGACACGTCCGGTTGTCATACCGGACGTGTCCGGTATGACTCAGCAACTCTTAGGTTTCAGCGCTATAATTGATCGGACGCTGGGAGCGTCTGGTCCGACGTGACCGGACGTGTCCGGTCGGCCCTGGGAGCTTACTGGACTCGACCGGACGCTGCGGCTCAGCGTCCGGTCATTTCGAACAGCGCGTCCGATGCGACATGTCAGAGAGAGCCGTTGGCGGCAATGGCTAGTTTGAATGGGACACGTGGTGGGTCAGCTACGACCGAACGCAGGCGACCGGACGCGTCCCGGTGCAAACGACCTACGCCTCCGGTCGTCCCGAAATTTGCCGAGTGAAGGGGTAACGGCTAGTTTAGCCCATGGGGCTATAAATAGAAGGTGGTCTCGGCCATGGCTTGAGTTGAGCACCTCGGGGGATTTTGTGTCCATGTTTGAGAGTGCTTGGAAGCCCTCTAACTCATATATGCTTGATAGTGATCATCCGATTATGTGAGTGAGTGATTCTAGTGTGATTGCATCATGAGGTTGCATCGAGTGGCACTAGGTGATCGAGTTGCAAGCCAGTGGTGCTTGTTACTCTTGGAGCTTGCCACCTCCTAGATGGCTTGGTGGTGGTCTCCGTCGAAGCCCGCAAGAAGGTTGTGCGGTGCTTCGGAGAAGAGCTTTGTGAAGGGCATTGTGCTCACCCCCGTGGGAGCCGCGAAGAGCAACTCTAGTAAAACGTGTCATTGAGCTACCCTCACTTTCAAGGTAGGTTCTTGCGGTGCCCGACGTGCGGGCTTGACGAGTGATGCTAATTAGCCGCCGAACCACCAAGTGAGCGGTCGACACAACGGGGACTAGCGTGTTGGCAAGCACGTGAACCTCGGGAGAAAAATCACCGTGTCAACTTTGTTCTTCCTGTTGGTTTGCATCCTCGTCACACAAGCTTGTAATTACTTTCATGTACATTGTGCTTGTGCAGCATAGAAGTAGCTTTCTTGCGTGACTAATTTGGTTTGTGTAACCTAGTTAGTCACATTGCTTAGTTTGTGTAGCTAAGTAATTGCGCTCTCTAATTTGGCATTGGTTGCCTTGTTATTGAGCATTGCTAGTGAGCTTAGGTGGCTTTGTGCTTTTGCTTACTAGCATGTGTAGGAGCTCCCCATTGCTTAAAGTACTAGTGGCATAGGTTTGTGTGACCTTGCTTTAAGAATTGATTAGGTGAGCTTTAGCTAGCCCGACATCTTAGTTACTTAATTAGGATCTTTGTAAGGTATTAGAGAACATTGATAGAGGGGTGTAGTTTTGGCTAGACCGATTGTTTTAATTCCACACTTATTTCGGTTAGCCGGCGTGATTAGATTTTAGTAACTACTATTCACCCCCCTCTAGTCGTCATCTCGACGTTACAAGTGGTATCAGAGCTAGGTCTCTCATCTGTGGTCTTTACCGACCCGAGAGGATGGCGAACTTTGGGCTAGAAGTTGTTTGTGACACACACATTTTTGATGGCACACACTATGCATGGTGGAAACGTCATATGCTTGATCATTTTCGTGATTTGGGTCCCAAGGCATGGTGGATCATTGTTGTTGGTTTTTCTCGTGATGCTTTGGATAAGGACAACCTAACCCAAGCACAAGAGGATTGCTTACAACTTGATCATCGTGCTCTTTATTATCTAACGTGTGCTTTACATGACGATGTTTTTAGACATGTGTGGGACTTGAAGAGTGCTCATGATATGTGGATGGCACTCCAAGCGTTCTACGGTGACTCCTCCACAAGTGATGATGGAAAATTCAAGAAGGAGGATGATCACAAGATGGAGGCACATGAGTGTGCTGAGCATAACCACAATTTGGTGATTGTGGAAGATTGCTCCACCTAATGGTCAAGTGATGTTGATGATGATAGATCCACTACAAGTTCACTTGACAAGGTTGATGATGATGCCACAAGTGTTGCACATGAAGATTCTACCTCAAGCACACTTGGTGGTGATCTTGATGATGATGGTTCATGCTCGGGCCATGATTGTGATGCTATTACAAGCTCATATACATCACCACATTGCTTCATGTCACAAGGTGACACCAAAGTATCAAATGATAATGTGGTTGATCATGTTGATTCATATGATGAGCTTGTGAGTAGACTTGCTAGCATGACCATGTCTTTAGAAAATGAGAAAGCTAAAACAATAAAATTGGAAAATGAAAACTCATTTCTAAAGAACTCTTGTGAAGAACATAAGAAATTATTTGATGCTTTTAACTCTTCACATTGTGAGCTAAAATTGAATCATGAGACACTACTTGCATCTCATGAAGAATTATTAGAACAACAAGCTTCTCTCATTAAAGTGTTTACAAAGAAACTTAAAAATAATGAGAGCTCATCATATGGATCAAGTGATAAATTGCAAAATGTTGCTAACCCTTGTGATGTAGGTAAGAAGCATGTATCCATCTCTTGTGATGATTTATAAGAAATGCCATGTTCTTCATAAATAGATGCTTGTTCTACTTTCATGTCTTGTGAGACTAACCTTTTGAAGGAGAACAATGAGCTCAATGAGCAAGTGAAGAAATTGAGTAACAAGTTAGAGAGGTGCTACAACTCTCAAGTCACCTTTGAGTGTATGTTGAAGTCTTAAAGAAACTTTGGTGACAAGAGTGGCATCGGCTTCAAGACTAGCAAAGTCAATCATCAAGAAACCCGCAATGACATGAGTAGCATTGGCTTCAACAAGAGCAAGATCAAGGGCAAGAGATGGGGCAAGAGAAGATATGAAAGAGAGATGAAGAAGCAAGAACAAGAGAAGCTCTCTCATTTCATGTGCTTCAAGTGCCTTGAAGTGGGACATCTTGCAAATGGTTGCCCCAATGAAGAAAAGCTCAAGTTGAAGAAAGACGAAGAGAGGCTAAGGCATGTTAAGTGCTTCAAGTGCCGCACATGGGGTCATCTCACCTCTATGTGCCCAA